CGGGGCCGTTGCAGGGTGCCCCCCAGGCCGGGTGGGGACATGGGTGCTGGTGGGGCGGGGGGCAGCAGGGGGGCGGTGGCTGGTGGCCGCAGTTGTCCCACGTCGCGCACCGGGGCATCGCCACGCAGGGCTCCACGTTCATGTAGACGATGGGGCCTGGGGTTCCTGGGGTGCCTGGGGTGGGGGGTCCACCGTGTTGTCCCCCCCGCCCCAGGGTCTCCCTGGGTGTCCCCACCGCTGCGGGGGCTGCAGTGGGGACATGGGGACACAGCGGGGAGAGGGGCATGGGGAACAAGTTGAGGGGTGTTGGGACACAGGGGCGGATGGATGGGGACGATGGGCAAGGGGAAAGGGCAGGTGGTCACAGGGGGTCGGGGCACGGGGACACGGGCTGGGGACACTGCGCACGGGGAGGTGGCAGCTGGTGCTGGGATGGACACGGAGGGGATGGCCGGGGTCGTGGGTGTTTGGGCACGAGGGTTTGGGGACATAGGGATGTTTGGGCGCAGGGGCAATGGGGAGCGGGGACATCGGGGCATGGGGACATTGGGACATTGGGGCACGGCAGGGGAGGTGTTACCAGCGGTCCCGAAGTGGCGCCAGCGGTACAAGGCCAGGATCACGCCCAGGAGCAGCACGAGGGCTGAGAACAACCCGCCCAGCGTCTTGGGCAGCACTGCAAACACCCGCAGCTCAGCCCGGGGACGTTGGGGACCCAATTCCCAACCCACAGGGACATGGGGGACCCAATTACCGACCCATGGGGACATGTGAGATCCGCCCATCCACCCATGGGGATGGGGGGGGATCCAATTATCAACCCACAGGGACACGGGGGACCTGCCACCTCATCCATGGATATGGGGGAGGGACCCTCTTACCCACACGCGGGGACATTGGGGACACTCTTACCCACCTGGGGGGATGTTGGGGACTCTCTTACCTACCTGAGAGGACAGTGGAGACCCTCTTACCCAGCCATGGGGACATCAGGGTCCCTTCCACCTGAGGGGACACCAAGGTCCTTCCTACCCACCCATTGGGACACAGGGGACCTTCTTACCGTTTCTGTTGTTGGCCGCTGTGAGCGTAGGATGGTTCTGGGGCAGTCCCCTCACGTGGAGCTGGGTGCCCGGGCCCTCAAACCAGTTGCCCTGGCCAATGGTCATGGGGGTCTCCAGCATGACCGAGCACTGGTAGGTGCCGCTGTGACCGAGGAGGACGTTGTGGAAGTGCAGGATGACACAGGACGACGGGCACCAGGCCAGGAGCATCCCCTGGCCGCAGGTGTCATTGGTGGTGACCGTGGGGTCCAGGCTGCACAGAGGGTTCCCGTTCTTGCGCCACGTGAAGCGCAGCGGGCGCCAGTCCGTCCTGCCCCGCACGCAGCACTGCAGGTTCACAGCTGCACCCTGCGTCTGTTCTATGTGTGACGCCTGTGTCACCCACAGGCCGCGTGACATAGGGCCTGCCATGGTCCTTCCCTCGACTTGTCCTGGTGTTGTCCTCAGGGAGGAGCACAGTGAGGAGCCGTTGGGAGCCGCCTGGATGGCTCCGGAGGGTGACACAGAAGCACCTGGGGCAGGGGGGCACGTGGGTCCCGCTGCCACCCGCGGGGCCCCGG